GGAAGCCCAGCTGCAGTGCTCGTGACCCTTCTCACACTACGTGGTCCAGATCCTCCTGGCCCAAGGCATCAGGGCACACCCCAAAGCGTTTGCCTTTCCTGCATCCTGCCTTTGCTTGCAGGATGCGCTCAGCCTTGCCACGCAGGCAGTGACGGGCCTCTCTCCTGGGCAGTGGGTGCACGCAGAGCTGTGTGGAGAGCACCCTGGCTGGGTTAGCAGTGGGGCTGGTGGCCTAGCTTGGTGTGAGTTGGGCAGCAGTGCTGAAATCCTCTCCCCCCGTGCCCTGCTCTTCCCGTCTCCCCTTGCTCCCCAGTGTGGGCTTTGCACAGGCGGCAAACTGCCCACAGGGACACTTACTGGGACACCTCTGCAATGTGTTTGTGACGCAAGGTAACCCAGAGATCATCATCCTCATCCAGGAGAACCTCCTTCACCCGGGCTTCTCCAATGCCACTTGTCTCATACCTGGGGAAGAGAGTGGGAAGCATCACTGAGGGGAGTGGGGTTTGCAGGGCATGTGCTCCCCTTTCTGCTGGAGTAGTTCTCCAGTGTTGTCCTCTAACCCAGGCTAGAAAGGAAAGAGGCAGGATGGGGTTTTAGGACCCCCAAGGTCTCTTTCCAGCAGCATCCGGAGGGGAAATTTTTCCCGTCCTGGGCTGGATGTGCTCCCTTCCCCAGCAGGCTCAGTCTCTGCGGGGGGTTGTCTGTAGGGCCTGGGCAGCATCTGTCCTTGTTAGTGGCCATACAGCACCCCGCAGTCCCCACTGGGACATTCCTCTGCCAGTAACCCCTTAGGTTTTGTTTTTCATGCCCTTTCTTTTCCTGGCTTCTCCTTTGCCACTGCCCTCTAAAATTCAGATTCCCATCCCAAGAGACATATCTCCCTTCCTAGGGATACAAGGACCCCATAGTGGGAAATTCCTACTAATCAGCATCGTCTGAGATCAGGGTGTGCCTGGTGGGGTAGAGCTAGGGTCTCGTGCAATCCTTCCCAGGTCCAGACTCTGGGGAAACCTCCTATTTCTGGCAATCTCCTTTCGGATAAGAGAGGCATTGTTCCTCTGCCAGCAGGCACACTGGGAGAGGAGAGACCGTGCTTTCCTAAGTACCTGCTCTTCTCTTAGGCTCTTTGAGATGAATAATAGCATGCAATGAGTAAGAGGGGGCAAGAACTTGTGGAACGGCTGCAGAGAGCACGGCCACTGCCTGGGATGGGAGCTGATGCACAGGCAGCTCCAGCAGCGTGACTACAAGTGGCAATTAGCTAAGCTGTGCTCTCTCCAAGGGGAGTGAAAGTGTGAGCATGCTGCCCATAGGCCAGGCTCCAGAGGAGGCACTGGGAGATCTGTTCTTAGCTCTGCCAGTGAGCTGGGTCGAGTTATTTCAGCTTAGTTTCGTGTCTCACCTTCTTGTACCTGTTTAGACTATACTTGGCAAAGGGTTAAAGGTTAGAAATGCTCCTTTTGCACTAAATCCTGCCTTGCTCTTGGCCAATATAACATCTGCTGGACTGCGCGTGTCATAGTGATTTCTCTTGGTCGATGACTGCGTAGCAGAGCAAACCAGCTGAGCTGGAGGCTCAAACTTTGTGTCTCAGCTTCTAGTTCCTGTTCAAGTGCTTGACTCCCGTGGACTCCCTCAGCAGTCCTACCCCTGGGGCTAGGGGATGGCACCGCCACACTCACTTGTAGACGTCGTTCTCGATGGGCAGCAGGTCGTAGCTCATCGCCTGGAAGGTCAGTTCATGCAGCACTGGAGAAACAGGGTCAAAGCCCCGGTCCAAGATGAGGAGTTGGGAGCGAGCCTTGTCCGGACCCTGCAGACCCGGAGGGGAGAGCTGTCAGTAGGAGACCCAGGGGCCCTCCAGCACCCGCAGGCAGTGAAGGGGAAGCCAGGGCTATTTTCTAGCCCTCTGTCAGGGTCATACTACTTGCGGGGTATCTACAACTATCCAGCACCTGTGTGCCCATCATGGGGGAATCCATTGACAGTTCAGCAAGCACCAAGTCAGTGCTTCTTGTCTAGTATTAATGGAGCTGCCAGACCATCAGAGACAGGGCAGGCCCTACTTGTAGCCCAGCTGCATGGCAGAATTTGAACTGGACTTTAGGGATAAAATACCAGCCAAGCCTTGGAGCTCTGGTACCTTCCCCAGAAGGGCCTGCCAATGCTGTCTCTACTCACCTCACCCATGGTGGGGTCATCAGCCTTGTAAGCATCCAGCTTGTCCTGGATGAGCTGGGCCAGCATGGCGTTGTCTTTGTAATCTCTGGAGAAGACAGGAAGGGTATGTCAGATCCCTGCTCCTGTCCTCATCACAGCCCAGGAGTCCTAGGGCAGATGACTAGCATTGGCAAGGGCTGTGCCAGGGGGTGAGGGACCGGGAGGACCTGCTTGTTTGGCCCTGTGCGATGGCCTTGGCTCATGGGAGAAGGGGGACCTGAGCATATCTTGCTATCGCTTTCCAGCTCTCCTTGGGGAATTTGGTGCCCCTCTTTGCTTTGGTCTACTACAGGCAGGGGCAGTACTAGATGTCCCTGTGCTAGCTCAGATCACATGGTGGCCACATGGATTTCAGGCTCCCAAACACCCCAGCTCTCCACAGCATCATCTGAATCAAAACCTGTTTTTAAATATAGCATGGATGATTCTGTCCGTCCTACCAACCTGGCACCACCTATCTGCAGCATCCTAGCAAGTGCCAGGACTGTAGGCAGTGCTGGTGGGGAGAGTTTGCAAGAGGGAAGATTCGTTGGGGTCCAGCAAGAGGGGACCTAAAACAGTTCTAAGGGGAAGATGGAAATAAAGTACTGTGGACCAGCACTGCTCTTACCCTCTGTACCGCACTGCTGGGTACTCCTTCAGCGTGGCACACAGTGTGGCAATCTGCTCCGCCAGGCGCTCCAGGATCGGGTTCTTCATCTGAGCCTTGTGGGGGCTGTAAAAGCTTTGGAAGGAGTCGGCAGAATCCAGGGAGTAAACCTGGGAAGGTGGAAATAAAGCAGGAGGAGAGTTAAAGGGAAAACGTTGCTAGGGACATCCAGAGGACCAAGAAAATTGGCTGAAGTTCAGCCAGAGGAGCCCCATCAGCCAGCCCAGTCCTGCTGCCAGGGAGCAGTGTGCTGGGCGGAAAGCACCTTGCCCTGTGCCCTGGTGCCAGGGCCATCCAGCAGCTGTGACAGCAGAGGGGGCAGGCAGCAAGGATGTGGTGGGTATCACAGGAGTGTTTGGAAACCAGATTCAAACCCAGATCCATGTCCCTGCAAATGTTACCAGTCAAAGTCCAGGTCAAGGCCCCTGGTGAGTTGAGTGACGCTTGAGAAAGGAGCTGCTCTGGGTGTCTGCTCTCTGCTTGGTGCCCTCTGCATGTGACAGCCCTGATTCCCTTCCTAGCTGTTGTTCCATGTCTTGGTTCCCTATGCATGTGCACAGCACCCTGGGGATGAGCTCCAGGGTCAGGAGACCCTCCCAGTCCTAGCATGGAGTAGGCATCTGTGCCCAAGCAGGAAACAAGGTGCTGTCTGCCCTGAGGAAGAACAGGGACGCATTGCTCGCTGGCCATCCTACCAGTAAAGACCAGATGCCAATTTTGCTGTGCGGGGGGCTGCCAAGAGCTATCCTCCACCTGCTCTTCCAGGGAGGCAGACCACAGCAACACTTGCTGTGTAAGGGGTTAACAGCATCAAACAGTCAAGTGCCATCTGTTCCTCCCCAGTGCCTGTCCCGATTCTCCACCTCCTCTGGCCAGCGAGGAAGGGCCTCTTGTGCAGCAGATGGCCCAGGGCTGGGCTCCCAGGTGCCCTTGGCTGGGTGGCTGTGCTGGGGGGGAGGGGGGCCACAGAGCCAGCCAGTGTAGGCTGCTAGCATGGGGCCAAAGCACAGCACACAGCTAAATCCGCAGCAGTGGATCAGCCCCGAGAAATAATCGAAGGAGACAGGAAGGAGAGAGCAGAGTGGGAGGCAAAGCGCCAGCCCTGGGGCCAGCGGTTTCGCAATGAGTTTGCAGGCTCTTTGCAGCCCTGGTGCTCCAGGTGCTCCTTGGTTCCCTAGGCCACTCGGGATGGAAGGGTCCCCACCAGGGACTCACCTGCGACTCAGATGGGAGGAAGGCAATGTTGATCTCTGTCAGGGTTTTGATCACCTTTGCAGCACGGGATTTCACCAGCTCATTGAAGAGGGCATCAGGGCAGGCTGGAAGGAGAGGAGGACAACAGTGCTCAGGGCACGGGGCGGCTGGCACAGCAAGGGTGACGCTGCCAGTGGGGTCCAGGGGACTTTGTCTCACTGTCGGTCCTGGAGTGAGGTGCCTGGGGAATGGTGGCCGCAGGAGTACCCGTGCCACGGAGGATGGGGGCTGATGTACTCTCTCTTTGGGCCTGCAGCTCGCGTGTCCCCTGGCACTCACGCCCCTCTGTCCCTGCTTTCTGGTATGAGTTTCAGGGATACAGTCTCTCCTTCCTCTCGGTTTCCACGTGGATGTCTTTGGAGTGGCTATCACTCCAGATTTGCACCTGGACACGGCAAGGGAACTTGGACCCCCGTTTGGTGTGGGTAAATCTGGCTGTGTCCGTGAGCGTGTGGGCCAGGCATCGCTGCTGTGTTGGAATGGGGCAGCACCTCTGCACTCCTCTCCGGCACAGAAGGGGCTGTCGCACTGCACCCTAGCCCCTACCCAGCAATAAAAGCTCCACAGATTCAGGTACCAATCTGGCTGGATTTGTGTTGAAAGTGCAAAAAGCACAAAAGGTCCCGGCAGCGGAAAAGAGGGAGTTTAGAAGGCTCACGTTAATGCCAAACCAATGCAACACATGAAGGGCCCAGGTCCTTGGGACACAAATTAACCCCACTGAGCCCTAGCGTTGTACATGCTGGTTGAGCTTGGCTCTGGTTCATTCAGCAGCGCCAGCAAGAAGCTGCAAAAAGCAGCAGCACCATAAACATAAGCAAAGGCTCAGTTTCAGGAGAATTTCCCTAACATCAAGGCCTTGGTAGATCACATGGCTGCCCACCCATAGCAAGGACCAGGCCTGCTTGCACAAGCTGCTTGAATTATCCACAGCAGTATTTGGCCCATATGAGGATGTTTTTGCCTCAGAGGGCAGATGCACCAGCTTCCCTGGCAGGTCTCCCATTTTTGGGTCCTGTCCAGCATAAAGAGGCTACTGCCTTCCTGCAGGCCCTGCTTGGTGTTTGCTCTTTCTCCTTTTTCCTTGCTCTGGAGGTGCCAGTGGGGAACTACAGGGTGTTGGTGTTGAGGCAATGGGGAGCAGTGGTCCCGCAGATACTCACAGTCAGTGAAGAAGACGTGGGCTGCTCTGTACTTGGAGGTGGGGGGGTCCTTGAAGTCATTGATGAGAGAGTGGATGGACTGCAAGAGAGAAGGACCCAGCTAAGCTAGGCACGACTTGCTGCATTAGTGGCAGCTGCATAACCCTGACAGACGCGTGAGCTGGCACTCTAATCCCAACTGTGCCATCCTGGGGTGCTGGGGTGCCCTCACGGGTTCATCTAGGCACTGCCGACGTCTTGGCAGGATCTCCTGGGCACGAGTCTGGCCAGGTTTGCGAGACCCACGAGCTGGGTTGCTGGGGGGCTGCGCAGTGCTGCCCTGTGGGGAACCTGCTCCAGGCCCAGAGCGGGGATCTCCCGTGCATGGAGCAGGACTGAGTAGCAGGTGATGGGCAACTGCACTAAGAGGGGTTGTTTTTATGTCCCCAGGAAGGACTTTGCTGCAGGCCACTTGGGGTGAAGCTCTGCTGAGATAACCAGCTAGGAACAGCATCCAGGGCTCTCCCTCCCTTTTGGCACAGTGAAAGCTTTGCACCTCTGATCCTTTGCTCGTGGTTTTGCACACCTAAGAGGGCTTGGGTTGAGGGCAGTGCCTCATCTGTGCTGTTTTCCTTGCCAAAACCAAGACGTTTCCCAACAGCATAGCTGCCCCTTTCTAGCTTGGGCATCACTCCCTCCTCCACCGCCCCCTCCCCCTGCTGCCAAACCCACGTCCCCAGCACCCTCGCATGGGATGTTCACCTTCTCAGAGGGGGTGATGAGATAGACGGCCTCCAGGCTGGGGAGAGGCTCCCGGCGCTTGTTGATATCTTCAACAACTAGGGAGGAAACACAAGGGCCATGCCAAGGACTGGTCTGGGCACAGACAGGGATGCACAGCCCACCTCGCCTGGGCTAGGATCCGTGGGGCTAGACATGGTTATTGCAGCTCCCACGGGGGAAAAGTACCAACCCTCCGAACCCCTTGGTTCCCAAAACATACCCAGGCACTCACCCCTGCCCACATGGGGCTGGGTGGAGGGATCTCCTCATCCCATCCCAGCCCTGCAGGGCCCTCCAGAAGTGGCTTAGGGCACCTCCAGATTTGGGGCTGTTTGTGTGGATGCCTGGAAAGGCTTCCCTTAGGCAGGCTGGCTCATTTGTTTGCATGCCCCTGTGCTGCAATTGTCCTGATCTCTTCAAGTCCTTCTGCCAAAGAGGACCACTCCAGGGTGATGCTCTGGTCCCTGTTATTAGGACTATGCTGGTAGCTACTGCTTCCAGCAGTCTGTGCTGGAGGCCAGAGGTGTCAGAGCTGGAGTGGAGTAGCAAAGTGGAGACCCTCAACATGTGCCTTGCTCCAGGTGGTTATTCCAAAGTTCCCTCCAGACCTCTCTGCCACTGCTGTGGGCAGCTCTTGTATCACCACAGAGGGTCTGTCTGCACCCACTGAGGCCTTGGTTTCCATGTCTCGCCTGGGAAATGGGGAGCCATCCCAGCTAATTCTCTGCTGCAGAACCATGGGAAAAGGCAAACCAAGCCCTAGGCTGGTGCTGGTCTGGGGTACCCAGGTTGGGAATGGGGCAAACCCCGACAGCATCGAACATCCCCAGATCTGCTGACTATGTTTTCCCTCTCCTAAGTGCTGCAGGGCTATTTATAGGACTGACATAAAATGACACCTGGTCTCCTCCTCGTATGCCCAATCTCCAAGGGCTGAAACACTGCCAGGAGACAAGATGTTCGGGCTTCTCTAGCCCAGCAGGCAAGAAGGGAAGCCTATAAAACAGTCAGCGCAAGACCTAGACAGTCGGCCATGTGTGATAGAAGGGAGCATCTTCCCCTGTAGAGTGGGAGGAAGCTGGGTTAGGGCCATGACAGTGCCTTGAGCAGTGATATGTCCGTGGAGATGTCTGAAACCCCTTGGCCATGCTATTGCACAGCCATGAATGGAGCAGTCTTCATGGCTCCCCTGCTATAGAGGGATATTTTGTCCTTCATACAGCAAGGTTTGCAAGAGATAGCTAGATCCGAGCAGGTTGGGGCTGGCCTGGGACAGGGCCAGGAGCAGCAGTACTCACTTGTTATGCCTTCTGTCATGATGTCGGTCATTTTGCAGCAGGAGGACAGCATGCGCATGCTGAGCTGGTCCACCACCAGCACCTGGGGAGAGCAGCAAGAGCAGGGAACTGTGGGGCTGGCAGGCAGCCAGTGGGGAGGCGCGGGATGGGGCAGTGCTTTTGGCAGCAAAGCCTGAGAGAAGTCCCCTTCCACTGTTGCTTTTAGCCATAGGGTCCCAGCAGCAACATGGAAAAACACAACTGTTCCTTTTCCCTGCTCAGCTTCATCTTCCCTACCCTGCTCTGCCACTGCCTCTCCACCCTCCTCCTCCTCTTCTAGCCTCACCAGGGTCCCTCTCGGCCCCGTACACCCACTCACCTTCCATTCACCCTTCTTCTTCACTTTCCGGATCACATCGTGCATAATCTCTGCAAGAGAGGGAGAACAGGGCTATCATTTCAGGCCAGCTGCCCCAGTGCTCGTAGCCGCTGTGCAGCCCTGAACCCTAGGCTGCCCCGGCCCCGTCTGCAGCGGTGGGGATGGAGCCGGCAGGGGGGCGCCGGGGTGTTTGTGGGGGCCTGGGGAGGGGTTGTCACCCGCCAAGCACCCATTTTTATCTTGTACTCTGCACTTATAAACTAAGCTGGTGGGAGCTGAGCTCACATCACGCAGGGAGCAGCAGGTGGGATTTGAGCACACGTCCCTGTGGCAGGAGGATGGGGGCGGGGGGAGGAAGGGAGGGTCTTTTCTGGGGAGCTTTGAGCCACCCCACATGCCTGGGCACTAATCCGAAGCACCAGGAAAACAACAGAGGCTTAAGAGCTCCTTTTAGAAACAAGAATCAGGTGGCCTGAGCCTTCTCCTTGTAATCCCTGGCAATCTCATTTGGCCTCCCGGCTCTGTCTGCCTTACACAACTGGAGGGGTGGCAGCCTCAGGGACCTGCGTGCCCCAGGCACCCCTTGGGTCTGGGGCCACCCCAGGCCATAGACACCTACTTCTGCCCAGCCCGGGGTGTGTGGGGCTGGGGGTGCCAGCCCTGGTGGGTGCAAGGCTTCTGCAAGACCAGGTCTGCACAGGGAGCCTGGCATGTGCATGAGCCTCAGCAGGTGGGAAGGTTTCCAGGCTGGTGGCCAAGCACAGGGTGGCCTAGCCAGGGGCTGGAGGGGACATTTGAGCCTCAGCAGGGCAGAGGCTTGCCTGGGCGACCTGGCCTGCTGGCATGGTGCTCTGGGCTGCCCTCCTGCCCTGCCCAAAGTGGCTTACTGCTGCTCTCAGCACCGTGCTTGGCTGCCGTCCCACTCCTCCTCCTGGCCAAGGAGCCCACAGCTCCACATCTGCCTCTGCTCGGGGCTGCAGCTGCACTTGGCCCAGGCGGTCCCAACCTGGGAGCGTTTCAGCAGGTGGCTGCCAGGTGAAAGGGGTGATGGTACGGGGCTTCGGAGCCTATGGCAAGGAAGCAAAGGTACCCTGGTGTGCTGCCTGGACATCTCTGTGCAGACACGAGGAGGAGCGAGGGGATAGCTGGAGGGGCCCCTTTTCTCCCTGGTAAATGCACCATCATCTCCTTGCAGAGCCCAACTGCACTGGCCGGCTGCATGGCCAAACCACAGGGAAAGCGTCTGTGTCCACGAGCAGCCGTGACACATCCTCAGCTCTGCGCCTTTTCTCTCCCATCCCTCCCAGAGGGTTTTGCTCTAACCCCGCAGTCACAGGTGTAGGAACACAAATGCCCGATTAAGGATCCATCACACTGCAGGTATAAAAACATGTTTCTAAATGAGAAAACCATGAGGTTTGGAGAACCTGTTGGTGAGGGTCTGACCCTGCTAGGCTTGTCCTCGGGAACTGTTCCTCCATGGAAGCAATCCCAAGGATGCTGATTCCACAGGGAAAGCTCAGCCTGGCTTTATACGGTGTGGTTTTGGGCCTGAATTTGTCTCTTTTTGGGACAAGGTTTGAGGGTGGAGGAAGCCAGAGCTCAGCACCTGAAGATGTGCCGTGGCCACAGAGACCTCATCTCTAGGTGCTGAGCTTTTCTTAAAATGCCTCAAAACTGAGCTTTTTTGGGTATCAGCTGGGACGCAGCAGCAGGAGGCGGTCCCTGCTTCCTGGGGTGCCTTGGCAGCTCTGTGTGTCCCCTCTGCACCCAGGTGACAGCCCAAGTGCTCGGAGGCACGGCAGCCACGCAGGGTCCTATCAGGGCTGTCGCCAACAGGCAGAGGCCATTTCACAGCCAAATAGGACCTTGTTTGGGGGAAAGAAGTTCCCAAAAGGAGCAAGTCTTTGATGCAAGGTCCAAGGGCTTTTCGCTTCTGCATGTCCTGCCTCCGATGAGACCCTTGTGCTGTGCCATCAGCTCAGCCCCGGCTACTACCCTTTCTGGGGAGGAACACATGCGTTTTTAGAGGGGGGCAGCAGCCGTGACGTGGAGGTCTGACCCCTCTGCGTATGAATGGGCTGAGCTTCGGGAATGTGCTGGGCTGCTTTACTGTGCTACCGCCCAGCTGCAGACATCCCACAGCGTTTTTAGGGGCTGAACGAGACAGCCAAGGAGGCCAACATCTCCCAAGCTGCCCACAGGGAGCAGAGCAGTGGCACTGGGGGAAACTGGTGCCAGCAGGGAAAAAACAGGAGTCCACGAATATTGCAGATCTGCCTGTCTTGTTGAAAAACTCAGAGGCGCCCGTTTCTAGACCTGCACAACTGGGTCCTTCCTAATGAGATCTGCCTTGGAAGGAGCCCAGAAGGACGCTGGCCACAGGCTGGAGGTCCTGCCTGGCCTTGGGGCATCCCTTGGTCTCTTTGTCAGTACAGGGGGTGAAAGGCACCTCCGTGCTGTCATAGGGTGGGGGTAACTGGAAGAAAGAGCTGCAGTGATGGGGTGCAACCATCCCGCGAACACCCTGGCTGGACACTGCTGGCGCAGAAAGACTGCCAGCCGTGCCTGTGTGCGATGCCCACGTGAATCCAGGTCACCAAAGCAGCAAAAAAAAGTGCTGCATTAACCTGGAATTCTGCTGCTGGCAGAAGCCGGCCACGAGAGCTGCCCGCGTGTCGGGTCCTGCTGGGAGCCCTGTGCCTGGGACAGCTCGGCTCAGGCACCGGTCACCAGGCTGAGAAGAGGAGAGCAGGGTGCCGGGGAGCAGGAGGCACTTTGAGGCGCCCCAGATCCTGCTCCCTGCTCCTTTGCTCGTGCCAGGAAGGAAGGTCCCCAGGAACCCTCCTGCCGTCCCCACAGCACGGACGGGGCCCCACGCACACGCACTGATGTGCTACTGCTAGCCACGCAGCGGCTCCCTGGTCTGCCTTGCTGCCTAGCGCCGTGAGTGCTGCTGCGGCCACGTGCTAGGCTCTGGAGGGCTGGGAACGTGGTGCTGTCCTGGGGCAAGGTTCGCTTGGCTTGAGAAAGTCGCCTTGGAGAGACAAATATTTCCAGATCCTGCCAGCGTATCTCTTTTTCTCATTTCATTACTCATGTTTGGCTCTTGCCCTTGAGCAATGATCCATGAATAACAATGCTGTTTACAAAGCAGCATCCACGCATCCTCCAAGACCTCGGTTTGACACCAAGAACTTCAGGGGCAACTGAAACAACGGCTATTAAACAGCAGCAGCCAAGCCAAGGAGCCAGTGAGCAGGGAGCCTATTTTCGGGAGATAATACCAGCCAGGGGGAAGGGAAAGGCCTTCTCCAAGGCTACGAACAGCCAGACAGAAATCCTGCTGTTGCGACTAAAATAACATTTAGCTCCAGAGCAGGGAGAGGAAGGAAGGAAGGAGACCGGGGACAAGTGTCCTGGAGCCAAGGGCCACAAGGGATGATAATCAGCCTTAGGTGCAGATATTCCCACTGGCTCTGCATCTTTCTCATCCAGTGCCTTTCACCTGTGGCCCTGGGGTGTGTGTGGCCACTGTAACCTCAATTTGCAGGCCGCGTGAGCCTGTGCAGGAGGGACCTTCCCTGCCCAGGGAGCCGTGGCGTCCCCTCGGCAGCAGGCACGGACTGACCTTGGGGACAGGAGAGATGCAGCTCTGCAGCACGCAGTCGCCTGATCCCTAGCACAGCCTCCAGCAGCACGGGGATGAGGGCGCCTTAAACGGGCTGCACCGAGCTGCGCCCTGGAGGAGGACCGGAGAAATTCAGGGTGTTACAATAAGTGGACAAAAGCTTTTGCAGTGCCCGTGCAGGCTGTTGTGCCCAGTCAGGACTAGCAGATTGCAAGTCAGTGCATGTGCCTCTGGAGTGGAGCATCTGCCCGGCTGTGCGCAGGACAACTCTCAGTTTGCGTATTTAGCCAAGACTGACCGTTTGCAAAGCTGCTACTCACTCTCCCACTGCTAGTGTCCCTTCCTTCCCATTGCAAAGTGCTGTTGCATCCTCCTGGCCTGACCCTGATGCCGACGTACGAGCTTCCTAGAGAGGAAACCGGTCACCTTTCAGACCTGCTGCTAGGAGCTTTATGTTTTTTCAGTGTTGCCAGCCAGGGTTCAGAGGAGCCCAGGGCAGGCACCAGCAGCATTGAGAGCCAGCCCCAGGCCTTGGCCTGCTGCAGAGTTATCCTGGCATGGGCCATGATAACACAGCCCAGTCTGTGGGTGGGCTGCAGACCTGGATTTCAGTTCATTCCCTAATGAACTGACCTTGCCTTGATGTGAGCGGGTGAGATCTGGTGTCAGGGTTAAGCAGACTACAGGGGTGATCTTCCAACAGCTGCAATAGCCAGCGTGGGATTGGGATAGCCAGCTCAGACCCACTGCAGAATCGGGAAAGAGGTAGATCCAGAGAGCATCCTAGAAAGAGGCTCTGAGACCCTGCCAAAGCCTGTACGGGAATGAGAGAGAAGCCCTAGCAAGAGCCTGAGATTGCAGTGTCATTTTTGGAGGAGACCTGTCCATAGCCCACACCTTGCAGGTGTCGTTGCAGTGGTCATTAAACCCCTGGTTAGGGAAGAGTGGTGGTCTGTTAGTGGTCCTCTGGGCAGACCAAGAGGGCAAAGCTAAACACGGGCTGGCCAGGGATGTAGGGACCTCAAAGTGAAACGATGTGGGCCACTACAGCACAGCTGCTCTCCGGCTGCAGTCAGGCTGTTTCCAAGGCTGTTTTGGCTAATGTGGCGGCTGGTGGTGGTGCAGGGGTTGGGATACTGCTGCATGTGTTACAGCTGCTGGCCCTGCACCAGCCGGGGCTGGGAAGCCAGGCAGAAGGCGGGCACAGCCCCAGCCTTATCACCTATGCGCAGCATGGGGCGAGCAGGCTGGTGTGTGGGGAGGTCCCCATGCCACGCTGAACAAGGGCCTTGTGTTTGCCCACATGTCCTAGCTGCGTGTTGCCTCTCGGTGGGTTAGACTGCATCTGGCCTGTGCCGTTCTGCATCCCTGTTCACACTGCCCTTTCTGAATGGCAGCTCTGCCGATGGAAAGGCTCGC